TATATAGTTTAAAATAGTTTATGTATCTGCCATCTTTGATTAGAGTTGATGTTCACATTCACTGCAGCAGAAAAATACTCTCCAAATTGCTTTTACCCTTCAAAGCCAATTTAAGTCAACCATTTTACTAGAGGCAACATGTCTATAGAAAGCCAAATGAGATCTGGTGCTTTTCTTCCTGTAAACTGTCAGAGACATATGGTGGCCACAATTGCAAGATCTGTCCTCTCCAAGTAGGCCATGAGTTCACTTATCTTTCTTTTTCCCTAGAAAGTTAGAGCTATGTTGAGTCCTACATTCCTGTAGAACATAACTTGGGCCATTGTTTCACAGTACTGAGAAACTTCAGGAAAAAACCCACCTGAAGAAACTGAGCCAAGCATTTAACCAAATATGTTGGACTTATGAGGACCTCATTTTCCGAGGCAGGTGACCTTCATAAGCCAGTGCATGTTATTTGCGATGTCACGGTTCCCATTTGTAGGAGACTCTTATCAGAATTTGGAAAGGAATAATAAACTTTTTTTTTCTTTCTGACATGGTGCATTTTATATAATTTATCTGGGCTTTTCACACTTTGCCCAACTGTTTTATTTATGTAAGCAGCCAACTGTTTTGGTGATTTCATAACTTTTGTGTTCTTAGTGAAATTATTGATCTTATGTCTGGTAAAATGTGTGGGATGATCTTCAGTCTTATTACAGAAGCTCTGTTTTTTAAAACATTTTGGGTTTCAGATGCCATGATCTCTTAACTACCCATATTGCGTGGTACTTTGGCCCTCCTAGTACTGATAAACCTCGGCTCCTGAGCTAGCGCCACTCAGCCATTCAAGCACAGCTACATGCCTAACCTACCAGGATGGCTCATGTTTTATAATCAGAATCATAGTTGAAATAGAAACATTTAGCCCAAATTTATTCAGGTATTTCAAATCTCAAAATACATATATTAATTTGAGTAATCCTTTTTATAGCTTCTGTCTATCTTCTACAGAAAACTTCATTTTTTTTTTTTCTGGTGTAGGCATCCTTAGTAAAAGATGTATAATCCATATTCAATTCATTTAAGCAGTTGTCCCCTACAAAGCTATAAATGACTTTGTGTCTGAGATTAATGGATTGAAAATTTTCAGAAATACTTAAGACCTGATAGAAATGATATCTGTAATTGTTTAGGAATGTGTAAAGCACTTTTTTCTACAAGTAAAATATTTTGTTTTTTTTTTTTTTTTTTAAGAAAGAGCTAAGTAGGAGCTGGAGAGATGGCTCACTGGTTAAGAACACTGGTTCTTGCAGAAGACCCGGGTTCGAATCCCAGCACCCACATGGCAGCTAACAGCTGGTCATAACTCCAGTCCCAAGGGATCTGACAGCCTCTTCTGACCTCTGTGGGCATTGCACAACACAGGTGCACTTAACTACATGCAGGCAATGCACATAAAAAAGATAAATAAAATTTAAAAAAAAAGAAAGCTAAATAACTCTAAAATGAAAAAATATAAAGATTTTTTGATAAAAAAATTAGTAAAATCGGTAGAGTAGTTTTACAGTGAAGAAATTAATTTTGTTTTCACAGGTTTGTTTCCATTGTAGAAAACCGGGCCATGGAATTGCTGATTGCCCAGCTGCTCTTGAAAATCAGGATATGGGCACTGGAATATGTTACCGCTGTGGGTCCACAGAGCATGAGATAACCAAGTGCAGAGCTAAGGTAGACCCTGCTCTGGGTATGTTCTTTCAGTTTCTTGTTTGAGGGAAGGGGAAAGTAGCCATTCAGTAGCAACTGGGTATCGTTTTTGTTGACAAAATTTATTGTGAACATGCTCCTTAATATTTTGAAATCATATGAGATTATATAAAAAATGTATTTTCTATATGGAGTATTGTTTAAGTAATAGGAATTGTTTGACTTGTCAAATACATAATAAGTTAACGGGAACACTGATTCTTACAGGTGAATTTCCTTTTGCAAAATGTTTTGTTTGTGGGGAGATGGGGCACCTGTCCAGATCCTGTCCTCACAATCCCAAAGGAGTCTACGCTGATGGTGAGTGTTGTTCCCCTTGTGATGAGATGATATGAGTCATTGCTCAGAGTTGTGATCTAGTTTACATTTTTAATCAGTTTTAAAATAGGTTCTTGGATAGATGAAACTTTGAGTACCTTTATCAAGTACTGTTCTGTGTGAGGCTATTTGTATAATGTAGTTTGATTTATTAATAAATCAGAAAAAAATTTAAGGTATGTCAGTTATATTTGCTTCAGCGTTATTTGTGAGAGTATGTTACACATTTTTTTGGTGTGTGTTTAAACACAACAGAAGCAGAGAGATTATATTTCAAACTAATGCAAGATTTGAAAAATAGTGTTATGTGTTTAATGTCATCCCAGCACACTGTGTTTCACTAGAGAGCATAGTATGTGCTATTCTGTTTTGTTGTCATTTTTGTTTCTGAATTTTTTTCCTTCATAATTATCTGGGTGGGTTCAATTTCTTATCTTTAACTCTGGCAGTGTCTTAAGAGGCTACAATAAACAGTTACATCTAAAGACCTGCAGGAGGAGATTGTCATCTGGCAGTGTGATGGCTGCTGCCTTTGGGGTCTGGGCACCTGTTGTGTCATGTCCTGAGTCCTTCCTGGACAGAAGTGCAGTGTATTAGCTCTTAGACTTATTCAGACTTTGAGTGTAGTCCCAACACCAGCTCCCCAGCTGTGGATCTTTGACCAAGTTATTAAATTTCTCACCTCAGTTCATCATCTGCAAAATGGAGATGAGGAAATTAGATTTCATTGTTCTAAGATGTTATTTTTATCTGAAATCAAAATGTGCGTTACCGTTGGTGGGTCCTACATGATTGACAACTTTTTTTCTTTCTGAGAGATAAGTGAAATAATGACACAGCTTAACAGTCAGTGGTGTCTAGATATGCTCAGTTTGGGCTTTTATGTGTTTTAAGATAGATGTGTTTTATTCAAGTGCCTCTTCTGTTTTTCCTATGGTAGATAAAAGAAGCTTATGCCTGAAAAGTTGTCTAATGAGCAAAACTGGCTTTGCATGATCAACCATTGTGGGTAGATTTTTTTTTTTTTAAGCAAAATGAGTAGATTCCATAAAGTGGGAATTCATCCAGGTTTGTAATCTGTGAGGGCATTTTCCCCATGAGCCACTTTATATAAGCATGCTTGTAAGAAAGCCTGACCATTGTGTGAAAGGCCCATTGCAGAAACCATGTTTTTTAACTCAAAGTCCTGGAATGTTGCTTAAAATAGACAGATGGGTGTGTCTGTTTGGGTTGGAGGGCCTGGCAAATGGAAGGCACTGAAACAAAAGTTAATTTCTTCCCTTACATAAATGATTACCCTGTCTGATTTATTTAGTACAGCAGTGGTGATTATTAATCTTTTGGGGTTATCATTGGCTATCTGAGAAGTTGATGAAGAAAACTGACAGCCTCCTCAGGAAAAAAAAAATGTGTCTGCACACAGTTTTTGTTTGTAAGTGAGGCGTCCACACAGCCTTGACTATCCTGTCTAACCATGAAGAAGATCTGGATTTGTGTGCCAGCACTCTTGGGCAGGTGCCTTGCATCCCTCGTCTCTGCTCCTCCCCTGAAGGTCAGGTACAAGAAGGAGGGGCTTCGGACCATTCAGTCCTCTGAAGTTAAGGGGAGTGAAGAATGAGTTATTAAAAGGAGTGGTGGTACCCACGCAGTGTCCTGGCTTCCACTGTCTTCACAGTCAAACAGATGTGAGGGCCAGTAAGATAGGAAATTGTTTTGCAATATTAAAAACACCGTGTCAGTATGACATAGTATTCAATGACTTTGTTCTTTTATAGGTGGTGGTTGTAAACTTTGTGGCTCTGTGGAACATTTTAAGAAAGATTGCCCTGAAAATCAGAATTCAGGTGAGCTTCTGGGCCTCTTGTCTAGCAGGGGTGTTCCTCTCTGCGCTTGCTGCATATCTTTAGTAAAAGCTCACAGTGAAACTACTGATCTTAAGGCAACCTGCTTCTCTACTGTGACAGGACCTAACTCCTTCCCTGTCAGCACGCAACACAGTATGAATATCACTTACTATTCTTGGGTGGGGAAAAGTAGCCAGTAAGCTGTAGAAGACCCTGTTTTAAAAAGCATCTTACGAGCTTTTATATTTGCTAAGTAATGAATTAATTTTATGAGAGCTTATTTTGCTACTTAGTAAAAAGTACTGATTCTTAAGAAAAAACTCCAAATATGAAATTAATTTGTAGCATTCATAGACCTAAGTATCCTCATGTGCTTTGCTTTATGTGTTCTGAAATGATTCAGAGTTGATTGTAAAATATAACATCTGCCTAGTTATATTTTTTTCTAGTGAAATATTAGCCTTGTTCATCAAAAACTTTGTAAATGTTCACTATTACCCGTAGCAGACTTTTAAGGAATTGGAAACCATTTCCCTTAGTTTGTGTGAATTAGAATGGTAATAATCATGTGTTAAAGAAAGCAGAGAGGGCTGGAGAGGTGGCTCAGTGAGCATGAGACTTGTGTTTAATCCCCAGAATCGACTGAAAAGCACTGGGGGTGGTGGCACATGCTTGAAATGGCAGAGTTGGAGAGGCAGAGTCAGGTGATTTGGTGAGCTCCAGGCCAGGGAGAGACCCTGTCTGAAAAAACCAAGGTAGATGGTGCTTGAGTAATGGCACCTGGTTGTTTTCTGGCCTCCAGACGCCTGTATGCATGTGCACTCACAGGAACGTACACACCAGAAAATAAAAAAGAAACACAGTAGGATACCCCAGTAGTGTTTCTTAAAGCAAAAGCACATTTCTTGTTTCATATAGTCAGAGCTCTATCCTAATAAGTCTACCCATTCTTACTTCTAATGCTTAAATGTGAAAACTAGCAGTTCTTATTTACAGTCTTGTCTGGAAGATTGTCTTTGCTGACACTGAGAGTGAAATGATGAAGTGGGATTTGAATTCTCCCTCCTGGGAGGATTGCTACTTTCCAAATGACAAGACTGACAAGCAGATGTTGTATAATTTCACAGGTGGAATCTCATGCATTTAAAACTGGTGCTTCATAAGTCTTACTGTTTACAGACTCTTGGAATTCATTGACTCTACAGTGATGAACTCTGGGAAAGAATGAAAGAGCTTTCAAATCACTTTGTGCATTGCAAAGTAGCTACTGCATTTCGCTAATTGGGATGAGAAATTGCCGATGGTACTCTGAAATCAAGGGTTCTAATCAATTACAGAATTGCTCACTTTCCTGCAGTGATGGAGTCTTCCCTCCTTGTGATTATTCATGTCAGAGCTAGTTCCTTTGCCAAACCAGTATCATATAAGTGGAGACATTTAATGACTGGTTTTTATATCCTGATTTTTCTTTTCCTCTACAGATCGAATAGTCACAGTTGGTCGCTGGGCAAAGGGAATGAGTGCAGACTATGAAGAAGTTTTGGATGTGCCAAAACCACAGAAACCGAAAGCAAAAACACCCAAAGTTGTTCATTTTTGAGAACAATTAGCACTGATGTTAATTATCACCTCATTGTTACTTTCCAAGTTAGAGCTGGGCTCCTTCAGGCAATCCTGTATTGTAGGCACGAAGCTGAACTCCATGGAGTCAAGTGTCCTGTGTTCTATCAAGAAGTACTTCTGCCACATTGGGAGAAAAATCACTGAAGAAAAATAATGGGGTGAATAACTGTACCCGCTAGACAACATATGTGTGTATGTATATATGTGTGTATTTTGTTATGTGTGTTGAGACAGATTCTCATTATGTTGCCCAGTCTGACTTCGAACTAGCAGTCCTCTTTGCCTCAGCCTCCGGAGTGCTGAGATTACAGGCATGCTCCTCCATGTCTAAGAACATAGCTTAACAGAGAGAGTTTAAACATAACCAGGTGGCTGTATACTTGATTGGAGCAATCATCTCTGTAAAAGCCAAATTATGCTTTAAAATTGACTACCCCTAAATAAAGCAAGTTGCTTTGCGTTTGCGAATAAGTAAATTTTTGGTTGTATTGTTTTCTTAACTCAGAATTCAACTTATTGTAATAGAAATTTATTTATATGTTTGCATAAAACCTCCTATTTTAAAATATTGAATAAAATTATATTTGCTATTTGTTTGGGTCACTCTAGTCATTGTTGCCATCAGTGTAACAGTCCTTTTGGAAAAAATACTGTTTATAAACCCCTAATGGGGATAATCAGGGATCTGGTTAGTTTTTGAGTTTTGATACAAAGAATTAGAAATTATTAATGCTAAAATTAAGCTCTTTTTTGCCTTTGATTTTTCAAGAAAGAAATTCAAGCCAAAAATCAATGCGCAGTATTCAGACAGAATGACGGCACACGGCAGATTGTGTATCAAACTTGCGCTTTGTTTGCATGCTGTAAATGAGTCAGGGTGAGATGGAAGTATCCATAATAGAGTTAGAACACTAATCAGAGACCCATTAGTTGCTTTGTCTGATTTGATGAATACATGCATAGTTAATACATATATTTTGCAAGGCTTGACGCTGCCATTGTGCTGTATAATGGAGTGACTGGTAGTTTGTGTGTTTCATTTGAAATTTTACCTGATTGAATCCATTTGTAACTAAAGGAAACAGCTGTGATTAGTTACTGATGCCTCAAAAGCTAAATATTTACCAAATAAGAAAAGACACACTTTTCTCTGTTTTCATGTCTGTACAACTCAACCGTTCTAGTCTTAATAGGAGCTGTTCTTTATTTTCAGTGAGGGGAAAAACATAATGACAAAATACTGCTCAGCATCCCAGAGCTTACAGAATGAGTGCCACTTAAAATGAACTGCAAGCCATGCGCCTGGAGGATAGTAAATGCTGCCTTCGTCGTATCATTCTGAGCTCAGACTTCCCCATCCCAACAGGAGCAGAAGGAAAGCACGTGGCTCTCTGAACAGTCCTCAGTGGCCATGCCAGCGTCCAGTTTGTCTTTCTTGGATCACTTTGTTTATATTAACACTATCAATTAGGAAAGCAGTCAAACCAAATGATAGGTGCTATAAGCAGTATTTTCAAAGTGCACAGATGCTGAAAGGAAAGTACCGGAGGCAGATAGGCTGGGAGACCTGAGTGACTGGATGGTCCTTAGCTAGAGTGCCAGAGAAAGTTGACGTTTAATATGTCTACTCAGTATGTACTTCCTAAGCATGGGGATCGTGTTGGCGTCTAAAGACACGTGCATTTGCAATGAGTGGGACTGAAGAGTAAAGCTAACAACTTAGGAAAAACATCAGAAGGATATTTTATTACAGTCTCAAAATATTTTATCAATAACCCTAAAAGTTAGCTAACACTTTGCCTCTTAGGCCTTTCTAACATTCTGTTGGATCACATGACCAAACCTGGAGGCAAGCAGTAGAAAAGAACACTTCATGGAGGTAGGGATGGCAGTAAGAGAGGGAATATTTCTGAAAAATAATCTATATAGACCATTAGGAGATGTTGACCTTTCCTCTGTAATATAGGGAACTCTTCACAGGTTTTGAGGAGATGTGACACGATCAGAGTCTAAGCCTAGAGTAAAGACAAGAGAAAGAGACAAGAAGGTAGATGAAACCCAGATGAGAAGATGGTTTTTTGGGTCAAGATTGAGTGATAAAATTGATATAAAATGGTCAGGTTCTGATTTTATTTTTAAACATAAAGTTCATAAGATATGCTAGAGGGAAAGGGGGAGGTTTATGTACAGAAAGGCAGCAGAATTAAATGTTTTAGAAATACTGACTTTGAGATGACTATGGTCTTAGTAAAAATTCAAGGATGTAGTTAGATAAGGCTCATACAAGTTAAGACAGGAGACATTGGGGCTAGAGAGTTGTCTCAGCAGTTGAGAGCACTGGCTGCTCTTGCAGAGAACCCAAATTTGAATCCCAACACTCACATGATGGTTAACATCTGTAACTCAGTTATAGGGGATCTGACACCCTTTTCTCAACTCCTTGGGCATTGCATGACATGGATGAACTTGCATACATGCAAGCAAGACACTCATACACAGAAAATAAAATATTCTTTAAAAGACTGGAGATGTAGATGTGGTAGTTACTGCTAAGCAAATGGCTTTAAAAAATTATTGAATATTGGGGGGGGGGCGCACTGGAGACATGGCTCAGGGATTAAGAGCACTGGCTCTTAATTTGATTTGATTTTCAGCAACCTCATGGTGACTAACCACTGTGACTCCATTTCCAGGAGAATTCAATACCCTCTTCTGAGCTCTGTGAGCACTGCATGACACAGGTGTACTTACACATATCCAGACAAGACACTCATGCATAAAATATTTTTAAAATTGAATTTTTGTGCATTTCATACATCTTGATCATATTCAGACCCCCTCCCCTATCTGTACCTCCCATTGTCCCCTTCCCCCCTGGGTTCCATGCATTCTGTCATATATATTAAAGTCTATAGAGTCAAGTTTACATCCCCAAATATCCTTCAGTGTTAGTTCATCCACTGGAACCTGGTCAGCATATTTAGCATCACTTCCTTAAAGAATACCAACTCTCCCTTACCCAGCAGGGATCAGCTGCTAAGCAGTGATCAGCTCCTTGGCTAAGGTTGGAGCTTCTTACCCATTTCCCCACTTCTATGGTGGTTTTCATGTTTGGCTTGAGTTTGCATGGGTCTTGTACATGCTGTCACATTTGTAAGTTCCAAGCTGCCTGGAAAACTTTCCTTGTGGTCATTCACCAACCCTGGGTCTTACAGTCTTTCTGCCCTGACTTCTGCAAGGTCCCTGAGCCCTGTGTGGCAGAGGTTTGATATAGGAGTCCTATCTAGGAACGTACACTTTGCAGTCTTTTGTTCACTACATTTTGGCCAGTTGTGGCTTTCTGTGTTAATCACCATCTGTTGCATGAGGAATATTTACTGGTGAGAGTTGAGAGATGAGTTAGTAGTCTCTCTGCCCCCGTTCCTCTATATTCCCTGAGCCTCAGGTGTACAAGTTGCACTATAGATGTGTTACTTAGGACTGGGCATATCATAGACACTTATTCCCTGCATTTGACCAGTTGAGGAACTCTAATTGTCTCTATCTGTTGTCAAAAGAAGCTTTTTTTTTGATGAGTGGTGGAAGCTATACATGTCAAAGTAGTCCAGAGTCTCAGGCAGCTGAGCAGGAGGGTACCTAGGCCCGAAGAGGGAATGGGGACAGTGTGGGGAGGCTCTAACTAGCTAAGCAGAGTTTCAGGTGGCTTTTAAAGTCCTGAAACAAGTGGACCAATAGAGGAATAGTGGCAGAGGAGAGGCCAGGAACAGAGCCCGAAGGTAGACTAAGATTGATAGGTCTGGTAGAAGAAGAAGAGTGTAAGAGGAGCCTTTTGAGAGTCTGGTTAGTGAGTAAAAGGAAGTCTTAAGTGTATGGCATAATGGAAACCAAGAACAGAAAATGTGAAAAGAAGGAACTAGTCAACTTCAGGGAAGACTGTTTCTAGCTAAAGAGCTTGGGAATAGAACCCACTGATGTGGGAATAGGGAGACTATAGATGGTCCCAATGAGAGAGCACTTTGTGTACAGCAGGGGCAGGAGGATAGTTAGATGAATTCCATGAGAATGTGAGAATAGAAATAGCATCAGATACAGTGCTGTCTTGCTTTGTTTATCGTAAAAGTTGCTTGTGACTGTGGGGATCCAGAAGAGGAAGGAACTCTTGATGCAGAAGAACAAAGGAACAGAAGGAAACAGGGAAGCTCTGGAGAAGGTAGGAGATATTGTTCTTTGCCAAGGGTTGGAGGGAAACAATGAAGTGGGTGGTGCATATGTAGAAACATGAGAAGATGGCTGCCTAGTGCTTTGTATCTTCTCAGCGAAACAGAGTATTTCTAAAGTTTATGCTCTGAGCAGTGCAGGAGACATGAGAACTTTGAGGCTATGCAATAGGAAACATGAAGGGAAGGTTATCAGAGCCCTGAATGTCCTTTTGTATCAGTGGTCAGAAATCAGAAGTGAAACCAGTCTGCAATTTCCAGATGTACAATATATAGATAAAGTTGCCTGAACAGTTTTACCAAAGTTGGGGTTTTGTCAGAGAAGCTGAGTGGAAAGAGAGCTATAGGTAATTTCCAGGGAATAAATGTAATAATAAATGTAATAAATAATAAATGTAAATTTATTCCAGGGAATAAATGTAATAATATTTCTTGGAATCTAAACTAGAGAAATTAAGAAGAGAACATGGACATGAGGGATAAGTTGTTAAGTTATACAAATATTCATCCTATTCTGCTTTTAAATGTTTCCAAAACATGCCACAAAATAGGAAGTGAAAGGTGGCACCGGGTGTGATTTTTGTATGGCACTTCATCCTTGCAGGCATCAAATGAGAAAGAGACTCCCCAAATAACACAGGCTATTGCCACAGCCCTTGGTTGCCTCCCAGAACTTAAAAGGTAAGACCTTATTGCTGAAGATAGGACATACTTCAGACACAGGACTTGCAGCAATCAAGCTGGAACTGACCTGGAAGCCTCCTCCCTGAAGGCTAGCTCTCGTGGTATCAGAGGATACTACACAAGCTACTAAGGGATAAAAAAAATCAATGATCTAACCCAGCTGTAAAGCGTAATAACCACAGCAATTACCAGAGCAGCAAACCAACTCTATTGGTGCAGCAGTAGCACTTTTATCT